TGAAATCACTCAAGCTCCGTATATACACTTTCTCCGAAACTCTTGGATTCTGAAAACTCACCACTCTTCTCATCAACTCCACTCCTCCCGCCGGCGAAACTCCCGCCGATCCACTTCCTCCACCACCGAGCTTTATGCTGCTCATTCTCCTTATCTCTCCTCTGCTTCTTGTGAACATTCCGTCCATCACTTCTCCACTGTCGGCAAACGAAGTCGCTCGGCTCACTTCTCCTTCCTGCACAACGAAGATGAGGAGACGAAGCTCTAAACTTTTGTAGAGACGAAGAAGAGTTTAGTTACCGGTTTGAGGTTTAATGATAAGATAGCAGGTGCTTCTTCATACTCAGCAGCGTCCAAGTCTTGAAGATGAGCTCCTTTGAAGAAATTAGGCAACACGTATTGTCTAACCGGAACAAGAAACATTATCATCAACGGAAACAACACTCCGGCCACCGGAATCCACGTGATCCCAAAGCAAGCCAGCAAGTAAGCCGCTTGAAACAGAGTGAACATCGCCATTGTCTTAAACGGTACCGTTTCAACAAACACTGCATGATTATCCTCAAGAACTCTGCAAAATAAAGACCAAAAGTTCACAGAGATTATGATAATGAAGCAAAAACAAGATTTAGTGATTCACTCTTGATTGAGGAAGAAAGGTTGATCGTTTACTTGAATCTCCTGCTTGGAGCGGTGAAGAGAAGTACGATCCTTTCCCAAAATTGATTCCCGGGGAGGCTTTCAATGGCCATGTAAGCAAAGTAACCCCAAAGAACCGAACTTGGGATTCTTTTGATTAGAGGCATTGCTCCTACACATCCAGCTACCAACATAGCTTGAAGAAAGTTGCTTAGTCTTTGTTCTTTTACTTCCACTGGCAATATATTCTCGACTTCTGTCTCTATATCAAATACTGTTTCATCGACAAGTGTATCTGCGTTTCCTAAGCCTGAAGCCTTTTGCATTTGTGACTGTTTGAGTCCCTGAATCTGATTATACCCGGTGGTCGATCAGGAATGAGTCAAAAGGCGTAATTAAAAACTGATTTGATATAGATGATTGTTCCACACATACCCGAGAAGGCCCTTGGTGTATCAAAGGGCTCTGCATTTGTTGGTAAGCTTCTTCCATGCTTCCATAGACATCTCCTAAAGTTCCATTGTTTCTGATGCATTTACGCGCAGCTGCCACAAGTTTGTTTCGAAGTAACTGCACATCAACCGGGTTTTTTTAAATGCCTTTTGAAAAAAATGCAATTGGAAGGTCTACATAAACACTTGAGATAATCAAACCTGGTGTTTCAATGTTGCCAAGCTTCTTGTGTGCATTGGAGATTGTGGAATGACACCGTTGGATGGAGGAATCCCGAGGAGACCGCATAGGATTGTCTACCGAAGAAGAGTCCCAACATTTCATATTTTGTAAACGGCGAAGTCAATAGATAAACAGAAAATTCAAACTTACCAAGAAACCTAGAAGAAGCAGATCATAATGGAAAGAAGGAGGCTTCCTCAGATTGAAATCTTCCTGCTGTGCGAGCTGCGAAGCTACGCTATGGTCAAAGTAGTAAAGAACTGCAATCATTGACGCTGGAACCAAAGCTACAAGAATGTAAAGCACAGGCACATCCACCATCTCCTGCAGTTTATTCATCATGCATTCTGATAAATATGAAAATAAAGCATTAATAGTAGAGAGAGTAAGAAGAAGAGAGAAAGTGATTAGTGCCTTAATGACAGTCCAATTCTGATATGCACCAGGAGACCATGGGTTAGGACTAACGAGACGTCTTGGTATCCCTTGAGGAACACTTTTCCAAGGTATATATGATATACAAGTCCACACTACCACCATCACTGGTACACCATAATCTGCTATAAATCCGCGTAACCATTCTGCAATCACAAGGATACCGATGATTCTGAGGTTCTTGCTCATAAACAAATGACTTTTAAGCCAGAATTTTAGTTTTGATTCACAGTTGGAATGGACATTAAGGTTCCTTACCAGCACCAAATCTCCAAGACCTTGCTTTTCGGCTTTTCAGTGCGGAATACAGAAGTCCAAAAGACAAAACCAAACCGAACATTCCATTTGCAAACACCCAAGCAGGTTGAAACTCAGCTGATTTTGGATTTGTTCTTCCGGGGACACCAAACTCATCCACAATGCCCTGTAAAAGTAGAATTTCAACATAGAGGAACAAGCTATTCATGCAAATGCTACCATAATAAAGTTGTGGTTGTAATCAAATAAAGGAAGTCTTACTTACTCTAATGGCTTCTTGCATGAAAAGCATGGCGATTAGGATACCAAACAATTCCCCGGCAAGTCGAGTGAATCTATTGATAAAGGAGCAAGCGCCTAATACAGCTAACAAGAACAACAACAGCCCCGTCCACAAGCAAACCCTTAAAAAGAAACCATCCATGAAGAAAAAAGAAAAAAAAAGACATTGCCTCTCTCTTAAAGCTTGAGACTTCAGAAAAATTCTAGTAAGGAATAGAGTTTACCATCCGGTCCATGCGAGAAAGAGACTAGGCCCCAAATCCGATCTACTTTTAGCGAAATTGAACATGAAGGTGTACATTATAACAGTAGGCTCTGCAACACCAAGAATCAACAATGGCTGGCCTCCAATTATGGAATGTACCACTCCACATAATGCTGTCGAAACTAAGGTTTGCACAGCAGTAATCTTCCCATCTAAGCCAAGTTGCAATAGACACAAGTTTACAGTTTTCAGTTACTCTCATCAAAACCAAAGATAGTAAGTATGAATAAAGAAGCAAAAGTGTAATTAGTGTACCAGTATCTCTTTCCAATTGTTCTCCAAATGTAATCACCGGAATCGCGGATGCAAAGAATATGTAAGTTGTTGGAGCAAGAATCCTATTATATTTTCATAAATTTAAGTTCACATCTCAAAGCTCAAGCATTTACACTTTTGTAAAACCAAAAAAGGAAAGAAGTGAATTCACCTAAATCCAGCTCTGAGACCACTGGTCCAATCTTGCTTGTAGCATTTCAGTCTCCCTTTGACATCGTTCTTTATACCCTGGAAAGGGACAAAGCTCTCTGCTTCGTCCATCTTAAGATTTGGTGTGATCAAGTTTCAGTGTCCTACAAGAACAACACCGTTGATACTTAGTTAAAACCCAGGAAATCAAAAACAAAATTATGAATGATTTAAGGTTGGAAATCTAATCCAACTTGAATTATTTAGATTCAATACTTTTACAGTAGTTGAAAAGTCAAGTCAGATCCAAGTATGAATATTTGCAGAAAGGTAAAAGAGAACTCAAAGAAATGTCATTAAAGCACTAATTGCGGAGTGAGTCTTTGAAAAGGAGAGAACTTTACAACACTTTCTTTTTTTTGTTTTGACGGAAATCTCAAAGAAAAATCAAATGCTGGCGAGAGAAAA